TCTATACATTGCTCGAAACAAAGGAATTATCTACGAATCAACTGATTGCTAAACTTTAAACCTTGAATTTTCTCACTCAATCTTTTCAAGCAAATCTAATATTTTTCTTAATTGTGCTTTAAAAACAATAAAATACCCATGTAAGAATTTTTGATTAAAAATTTGATTAAAAATCGATTAAAATGGCACGATTTTAATCGGCTTTTTTAGGTTTGAAGACGGATTTTAATCTTTTTTAATCGATTTTAATCGATTAATAAGCTTGAATCAGTTAAAACTAATTATCAAAATCGATTTTAGTTGATTTAGGTTTATTAATCGATTAAAATAGATTAAAAAAAGATTAAAATCAAATAAAATCCGTCTTGAAGCCTAAAAAATCCGATTAAAATCTGATTAAAATCGTGCCATTTTAATCGATTTTTAATCAAATTTTTAATCAAAAATTTTTACATGGGTGCACTTCGATTAGATTGCCCCGTCCAATCATTTCAACGGAATCAGTTACAACTCTTGCTGAAGATGAGATTGACATTAATAAGGTTGGAATACAAACTCAACATCTTTACCAAGTCAGTTAGTTATCAAGTTGGATGGCTACTAACTCGATTGATGATGTAGTTGATTGTCCACAAATTATGGGTGAACCTGACTTAGTTCATCATCAGCTTTTTAGTAAATATATATACGATTGAGGAAATTTCATTTCGATGCTATAAAATCATAACTTATTCATATGAACAAGCAGAAACTGTGAAAGTGTGACTATACATTATATTTATCCTCTATGCTGTTACTTGATTGAGTTTCCAAGGATAGTCGTAGAAGACATCATATGAAATAAATGTAACATTATAGACAAGTGAATGCGTGTATTATTATCATTAATAGTCAGTGTCAATCGAGTGAAGAAATTGATGTTCTCAAACTAAATAAACCATTTAATAATCACTAGTATTTACTTCATGCAAATCAAATTGAAGAAAGTTGTATTACACATACAATAACTGCGAGTGAAATTACTATTAAGCACTGTATGCAAAAATTATTTTAATATTTGTTTTCACATGTAGAATATTTGAAATGATAAGTTGTATTTACTTGAACTCATCAAATATGTGAAGATAGTGGGTTGACTAATTATCGATCATATTATAGTAATACTGGGAAAAACTTGTGATCGAATCTCATATTCAGAAATGACAATCAATCATATTTTTATGATTAATTGGAATACTATCGCTTTGTCTTGACATAAGTAAAACATTTAACAGTTTCTTATAAATCAACATCTTTATAATTGTGATTCTCTTTTTTCTTAATAAGCATGTTGAAAGATAATAGATACAAGAATTGTTTCTTTCGAATAAAGCAAGACAAAATTTATCATTTTTCTTGTCTCTTCATTCAAAACAACAATCACATTTTAGAAAAAGAACAAAACCATCTTTTTTTTCATGTTATACAAAACAAAAATGTAGAAGTTTACAAAAAATGTGTATACTGTAAAAGAATTAATTCACATTAAAATTTAACTTTGTATTAAATTAAAACAATAGAATATGAATTATGAATTTTAGTTTTATTAACAAATGAATAATTGATTAAACTGGTTCATCAAGTATTATATTGATGAATACAAAATTGATTTCATTAATAGTATTGATTAAGAAGAAAATTGATAAAAACATTTAGGTTAATTCGTTATCCTTCACTATGATTCTAGAACAATTAATGATAAAATAGCTTCATAAATGGATTATTAGCCTGTCTAAAATGCTAATGATGTAGTCTCATACATAAAATCTATTATCTCTAAGTGGGATCATTTAATTAGTCGAATAATCACATGGTAAATGAAAAGGGTACTATAGTAACAGAAAAAAAGAACGAAGTAAGCTGGTGAAAGCAAGGCTAAAAGAATCTATTTGTTTTTGACACATCTTGTTAAATAAGCATTTACTTTGCTTTGTGTCATTTTGTAACTACTGAAGAAACTTTTTATGAATTGACGTTGATAATAAAAATACTAACTTTGTTCTTGATTACCCTTTAGCAGCTCAATGACGTTTTCACGATCATTCGTATGCTTTAGTATGTATAATTCGCCGAGTAATCGTGAAGTTTTTGAAACATATCTAACTCATTAGTAGGTTTCTTCATCGATTTAGATCACATCGAAATTTCTAAAGGTTTCCTAACGTTCTTATTGTTTTCAAATCACATTCTTCCTTGATTTTCTGTAATCATTCTATACCTAGTCAAGTCAATGACTAATAGAGAGTGCAGAGTTGAAGAACAACATATCTTTTCAGGATTCATATTCCATTTTCTGTCAAATATCTTGTCATAATAAATTTTTTACAAAACTTCAAAATTATTCATTGCAATATGATCCAGTCAGTTGTAGTATCGAAGTATTATGGTGACGAGATCAATATAATGAAAAACCAACATTATTTGATCACTAATTTCAAGTCTATATTGATTTTGAAAAACAAGGATCGATAGCAATATGTAAAAAAAAACCTCATTTAATATGAATGTCTCATCAATTAAACCTTTTCAAGAGGAACAGTGTTATCAATGGTTCAAATGTTACTTTGTAATCATGTATTCCTACAATAACAATTAGTTCTTGTACACAATATACATTACAAAAGTCTCAATGAGTCGAATCGAGTCAAATCTTAAGGCAGAATGTTTTTGGATAGAAAACCATGAACTGAGCCAGGCTGATTTGACATTATTATGAACGTTCATGGGTTAAATCTTGAATAAAATATAAAATTTTCACAAGATGTTGCTTATTTCCACTGAACTTATTTTCCTTGCAAACTTCATGTAATTCTTCCGTTAGCTAAAAAAATTTCTGCAATAAACATCAAATATATAAAACAAAATAAAGAAAAAATTAAAATTGTCATCATTTGAAAAACAGTGTCCTCATATTGTTTGCGCGAGCTTTATATGCAACAGATTTAAGGGAGGATTGTGATAAAACTTTTTTGTCATATAGAATAATGTTTAAAGATGATTGATCAAATATTGGTTGTCTATAAATTCATAAAGACAAAATAGAACGAAAGTGAAAATAAAATATCTATTCGAGTGATAACGAAAAAAGAATAAAATAAAATAAAACTCAAACATTTGTGTTAAAGACTTGCTTATCATTTCATTCTATTATAATACCTTGAATATTGCTATCTGATAACACACATACACTTGCTTATACTCATCAATCTTAAAACAGAAACATGTTATTCCATTTATTCATAATATTTCAAATTATACATTCAGTTTCATGTGTTATAACATGTTATATTTGTCCAATAGATGCGAATAGTTTTGATTATTTTATTACACCAGATCGTTTACCAGATACACTTAATAATTGTACATTACAAACAATTGGAGATAATTGTTTTATTGATGTTATATGGCATCGAAAACCAGATAAAACTGAATTAACATTAAGTACTAAAGATAATCCAAGAGCGATATACAATGAACACAATCTTAATACTATTAATAGTTTGGAAAATAAGAATTCTAATTTCGTATGGACTAGATCAATTTCATATACATGTTCTACTAATTATTGTAATAGTTTAACTGTATTAAAACGTTTATTAAATTCGTTAATATGGAATGATTATTTTAATGAACTTGAATATCTCCTTAATAGAGAAGAACCATTTGATGGTAATTGGTGTTGGTTTAAGAAAAATATGACTTCATTAACGTGTGTAATTGTAATACCACCAGAATCTTGTAAAGCATGTTTTTTTCAAGGAGTAAGTCGTCGTAATTCAATAGAAATCTGTGAAACATGTTTACAGGATGATATTGGTGAAACAGCTTTATCATATGAAGTGGATTTCAATATGACTGATCGAACACGTATTGATCATTGGATTCTTGAATGTAAATCAAGAAATTGTAATACAGAAAATAATGGCGATCTTATCCGTCAAAAGAGTACATCAAATTTTGATTTTATCAAATTTTTAGATGATGCTAATAATCCAAATATTTTATCATCGATGAGAAAAATAATATTACTTTTTATTGTTTTTTTCATAAAATTTCTTAATTAATTCTTTTGAAATATATATCAATCTTTGTTTTATAAATCTATACAATTTTTAAATAGATAGATCAGACGAAATATGGTGCAACTTTTTTTTTTTTATAAATGATCTTGAAAACGTAGAATGTTACATGTGCATGGATATATTCCATATTGTAATTAAAATTATAGATAGATACAATATTATTTCTAAAGTTTGACTTTTCCTGTTGACCTGCTTAGCGGATAATTACTATTGATATAATAACTTAATCTCGATTTCCATACCTGATAATAATAATGGCTTATCCAAGATTACGCGCCGCCCTATCATTAATCATCTTCGCCTTGCTACCAAAAGAAAGAAAATGTGATAACTACCATCATTAACACAATATGTTGTAGATTACATCCAAGATCATAGGTCACTATTCTACAACTCACAATCTGCTAGTTATGCCAGTAGAAGTTAATATTTATCATCTTATGTATACAATTAAAGTGGCACAGTCACAAATTACTTCCTATATAAACTACTGTCAAAAGAAAAAGAGACCTACAGTCACATGATCATTTTAGTATAAAAAAAAATACAAAGTAGGATGGAAGTGATGATGTATTTAACAAATTTGATGAATTGTTATTTTTTCTCTTCCAATAAATAACGGAAAATCTTAGTAAAGACTCGACAAAGAAAAAAAAAAACAAGGACTGTTATAAACATTTGCGTAAAAGAATATTTTTATCTTTTGAAGCTTATATATCTTCAAACCAAATATTTGATATCAACCAAACAACTTTACATACACATTAATTATCTTGCGATATTAACAATAGAAAAAAAACAACCATGCTTGTCTCCCTATTTTTAGTATTTCAATTGTTCTATTCAGTTACATGCTCTATATCATGTTATAATTGTCCTATGGAATTCAATACTTTTGATTCGATTATTACAGTTGACACTATACCAAACAATCTTAAAAATTGTTCAATTAAGACCGAACAATCCGAATGTTCTATTCAAGTAATATGGATACAAAATCCAAATCAAACTCGAATAGCACTTGTAGGCGGTGGTGAAAAAAGAACAGAATCCGATGAACACAATCTCAAAAATGATATTCTATTAAAAAATGACGGTATTAAAACGCAATGGACGAATACTATTTTGTATGTATGTTCTACTGAAAACTGCAATAGTCCATCAACGTTAAAACATCTATTAAGATCATTAACATCAAAAGATAATTTCAATGAATTTTCATATCTTCTTGTAATGAATGAACATTTTAATGGTACATTATGTTTCTTTTATGCCAATAGTAGTGTATCATGCGAAACTGAAATAGATCCAAACACTTGTAAACAATGTACAACTGAAGAATATATTCAAACGAAACCATTAGAAATATGTTCAAACTGTATTATGGATGACGTTATTGAAAATTTTATTACATATGAAGTTAAATTTTTTATGAATAATCGAGAACGTCATGATTTTTGGATGATTGAATGTCAATTACCAAATTGTAATACAATAGATAATAGTGATTTAATACGGCAGAAGAGTAATATTCAATTTGATTTTGATCTTTTTCTAAATTGCAGTAGGCAACTAACAAATATTTTATCAATTAATATAATAGTTTTTGTTCTACTGACATTATATATAAAAATAAAATTGAACTGATGTTGAAAAATCAAGTTTTATATCATATCATATTCTGAAACGATTTTAAAATTAATCATTCTTTTATTCAACAAAAGCAAACTCTCTGAAACTTTAGCAGATTATTACATCTATAAATAACTACAAAGTTTGAAGTCTATTGCTTTTACTATAGTTGAGAATTTATAGCAACACTATGTTGCAGTATTTTTTCCTATCAACTTAGTGATTTAGTTTTTATATAATCTAATTTTTCGAAATAAAAAGACAGATAACAAGTTGCCAATGCTTGTAAATTTGTGATTTAAATTATGATCGATTATTGATTTTAATCGTGAGCGTCGATGTGCTTCTTACTGGTGCTTTTCCTCATTTACATCCATACCCACTGAAAGTAAAGATGTACAGAAGCCGTCTAATTTCAGCTTCAAATTTACACTCACTTTTATCTTTCGGAAAATATTATGAGAGTCACACAAAATGCATGAATAAATGTATAAGCATCAGTTCTTTTAAAACTATGAAATTCTTTGTAAGATTCTATATGAATTTATTTATTCGGAAGAACTCGTGTTTGGTCAAAGTTTCAGTAATCCCATAGGTTCCAAATCATAATGCGAAAGAATGGTAATAGCATGCTAAAATCAAGCATGTGTCCTATGAAAATCATTTAAAAAAACGCCGTGTTGCTTAATATTGAGTGTGAATGACTGGAGCATCTACACTTACATCCACCTATATCACATCCCACACTTATTGCCGCTGAAGATTTCTTGGACTTAATTTTCTTGTGCGGAAAATTCACCGATTCAACCATTAAATATATAAATATATCATGGAGATAAAACAAGAAAAAATAGAAAAATCATTGCGAATTATTTATTTCTGTATCAAAAATAATGCTTATTATTTGAAAAACCAATTCATTTAAGACTACATTTTATCTTTTTTTCTCTTATAGATTATATCTATTGATCACTAAAGTTGTTTAAATACACCAGCAGGTGTTACATTTCGACCACGTCCTTTGTCCAGGAGTAAATCAGTTATCCAAGCAGGAATAATAGAAAGTGGAAAAAATATTAAGCCTGATTGCCATCCTGGTTTATAGCGAATACATGGTTTTGTATTACTAACAGCATGCTGAATTGCTTGTACTACTTTAATAGGATTTTCAGCAAAATGAATGAATATATTATTGAGTCGTTTGTCCATTAAATTTTTAAGATATTCTTTACCCCATCGATCTTGAACATCATTTGGTAGTGTATTCCACATCTTGTGCATTGTTTGTACATGACCTTCGATGAGAGGTGTACGCATATAACCTGGTTCAATAATGCTTACATGTAATCCCCATGGATGCATTTCACGACGTAGACAATCAGAAAATGATTCGAACGCATATTTTGAAGCACAATAAGCTGACATACTTGGTGCAGCTAAAAAACCAGCTACTGAACATAAATTAACTATACGTGAACCTCGTTTAGCTATAAGTAATGGTAAAAATGTTTTTGTCATAGCAACATGTCCAAAATAATTTATTTCCATCATATTTCTCATAAAATCAAGTGTAATCCAATCAATTAAACCATCTTGATCAATTCCTGCATTATTTACAAGTGCGTGTAATGTATTTGTTTTTTCTTTCACTATTCTATATGCAGCATCAATTTGTGTTTGTTGAGTAATATCAAGACAGAAGACAATGGCACGGGATGAAAGTTTGTTTTTCAATGAAGCTTGATTATCTTTATTATAAACACTAGCGAAAACATTGAAACCTTTTTTATCAAGTTCAATAGCTAATGTATGACCAAAACCTGTATCACATCCACTGATAAGTACATATTTACCATTGGGATCAATATCTGGTGATGGATATAAATATTGATAGAATCGATAAGTTACATACAGAATTAATAAGAAACCTATAATCAAGAACATATTTGCATGTATGAAAATGCTTCTAAAACGGAAAGAAACTATGAAAATTTCTGAAATATATTTCATTTGTGATAATGAATCGACAAAAAAAAACTTCAAGAACAAAGATTGGCCATGTTAAACACACACAAATGAATTACTAACACCGCGTTCTTTTTTTCTCGTTCGCATAGATGTTTGTCGCTTATGTTTAACTTCAAATAGACTCCATATGATAAGAAAAAAATGTATGAAGGAAAAAAGAATCAAACACGTAACTTATAAAAAGAAAAAAAAGTAAGGAGAATGACAAAACAGTCAGTTAAATACAAGGCACATAAAAATAAAAGCAATCTAATAATATTTACTTAAAACTATATCGATTTTTTTATTCAAGGACTACTTAAATCTGAAAGATACAAATGTTCAGGATTTGTCCAATGTGTGTGAATACATCACATACATATTTTTCTCTATTAAATATATCTGGTATTTTCCAACTCTCTCTTACGTGTACGTAAAACATATAGCTATGAATTTTTCCTTTCCTGCCATATATGTTAGTGATTTTTTCCTATCGTTGTCATCCTATACATGTATATGTGCATACCTTCACTTCGATGCAATCTTCTTCTCTTCTGCTATGTATTCTTGTTACATTGTTCTTTACCTTCTACACTTTGTGGTTTCGTGTTATTGAATAAACTGAATATCAGCAATTATTTGATCAGTTAATTGTCTTACAAACAAAATTAGTATTCTATGATTATCACGTTAAGTATTGTATACATTGTCTTATAAGGTCAAAAATAGCACATATTTGTCCTTGAAGTGAAATTGATATACTACCACATATTTAGAGTTTGATGGTTCTCAAAAAGACAAATGAAATAGATAACTAAGTCACAACCGGAATTTTTCACTTTCTCTTAACCGGAACCGGAAGTGTGTTATGAAAGAGAACGGACACATAAAAGGAATCCGTGAAATCGAAAATTTTTACTGACAAAGGGAAAACTATTCCAGAGTTACACTTTTAGAAAATATTCCATGTCTCAATTAAAAGCGAGATTTTTACTGAAAAATGTTTGTTTTTGTAGCAGTTGTTCTGTGAGGCATCTTCAGTGGTATTCTATCGAAATAAGAGATAAACTCAAATATTTTATTTTATCAAAATATGACATTCTTAATGCTTAACTTTACTGAGTTTTTTGTCTTAATTGATACGCCGAGAGTGGTGGAAGAAGAAGATCAAATAAAGAATAACTAGACTTCATTGTATTCGGTTTAACAAAAAAATCATTTGAGATATGATCGACATAACAGATGAGTGTTTACTAAAATTGCTCTTCTATCACCAAGAACAAGACATATAGTTGAAATTTCGTTTTATGTATAACTAGATACCTCAAATATTTGCATAATATGAGAGCTCAATATGATTCTTTGCCAATAAACAGATTATACAACTGATTAACAGTCATGATTTTCTCTTTGCTATTTTGTCTTTCGAAAAATGTGCTTTTTCATAAATAATACACATTAACGATGTCGAAAAATGATATCTAACTTAGAAATTTCTAGGTAAAAATTATTATTCAAGTTATCTGGTATACTACTGTTGTATGACCAATTCTAAAGATGCTTGTTAGAGACCGACATTCAACTGCTTTGTTTTCGTTTTTACTAAGTGAAACCGTCGGTCTCTATATACATTCCATTTCGATATCATAAACAGCCAGTATTACAATTGGTAGCACAAATTATCCAACGAACAATATTATTTATACTGTCATATATAAAAATAAAACTTTCAATTATTTGATCAAAAATCAAGAACATATGAATAGATTGATTGCTTCTTACTTATTCTTACTGATTATCTCGATTAAAAAATAATATTTAGTTTGATATCGATAAAATATTTCAATACACCATGATATAAATAATCTACGAAATAAAGTGTGCTCAAATTTGAATCACATACAATATGATTTGATGTATTTTATTCATTGACCAAATTACCCGGCAGACTTTCAAATTAATATCACAATTACTAATTTATCACATTAATTACCTACATATCCAGCTGTTGTTACATAAGATGACGCACTCATTTATAACTTTTTGTCATTCAACTATCGAATTGATTCTTAATACGAAATGTATGTAACAATTCCAACATTATATCATACACATAGTTTAGTTGATTTGTTGTTTTTTTTTACCGTGCTTATTTTACCTGTCACTGTACTGTTGGTTGAGACTGAATAAAAAAAAAAAATAATAAATAATTAAAAGTTTTCGTATACGAGAGAATAGTTATTCACAGAATTGAATAAAAAGAAAAAAAAAATAATTATTCCTATATTTTTAGAAATATAATTAGAGAATTATGTAAGTACATGATTGTCTTTGTCAACGTAAGCCAAATCAAAATCAATATAATAAAAAATAAGCAGAAGAATAATTAAAACAAAAATATATACTTATCCTAATATAAATATGCATAAAAAGCATGCATAGCTATATAATTTGCTTATTCTCTTTTTGAAATTTTATTTTGATATTTATAGTGTTGTTTGAATGAAACTTGCCTGAAAATTCTTTTTTTTTTAATCTTCAGTTTGGCATATATTCTCCAAAGATTTCGGCAAGGAAAAGAAACGTTGATTGATTTGTTCACTCAAGAAAAAAAAATCATTCGATTATCAACTTAGAAGCAGTACCAAAAAACATCTCGTTCTTTTTCTATTATTAATCAAAGATGTTGAACGAAAATATGAATGAATAGTTGCATTAGTATACCATGATTGACATTGTTTAACTATTCAAGAAAAACTTTTATCAATGAAGATAAGATGTTTGATCAATTTTGAATGTGACAAGCAATCAAAATAATTAGTTGAAAATTATTTACAAGAAAAAGTAATTTTACGTCAACTAAATGAAAATGTTTACTGATGAAAAATTATTTGCATAATTGTCATACTGAAAAGGAACATGTCTGATTTTCTTTTGAAGAGTTCTTCTTCATATTGAATGACTATACTCTCAACCGAATGGTTTATTCAGATAAGAAATAAGAATCGAATTCGAGAAAGTATTTTCTTGACACATGACGAAGATTCTGCAATCATGGAACTTTTTTTTGATTTCGTAACCAAACATAAAAGGGTTCCGTAATAAAAGTTTTCTTTTAGAATGTAATGAGCCATAGTTTCTTTCTCTCTTTAAGCTTGGTATAACTATAACTTTCATCATTCATATTCAGTTTGGCTAGTCCTTGTTCTTTAATGAATTGCGCTATTCTCATGATCCAATTTTTTGAAAATATTTACTTTATATGGAAGATTTATGCACTCAATCTGTCATACAAATGCATGTTGCTAAAGAATCTGAATTATGTACAACTGTGTCAATCTGAATAAGAATCATCTTCTTTGAAGAAATTCCTTATCTATAGGCAAATATTTATAAGATAGAAATAAAAAAAGGCGAATACTTTTCGTGTACGAAAATCGGCCGATGGAAACCATAGTCGAGAAATGTAAAGTAAAATAACAAAAGCCTTCAGCTGGATGAAAAAAAATATAAGTTCATAATTTATCTGCAGTTCGTTCCATATCATACTCACAAAATGTTTCTCTTAATTTTACTTTTCTATCAGAATTATTTTTCGATATAACTTTATGAAAATCTATGAATGCTTAACTTTTAGTTTTGATAAGAAATTCTAATTCATATGCTTCTTCTGGAAAGTTTGCTAATAAGCGTCTTCCGTCATTTTTTTTTGTATTGATTTAGTGCATTCGTTGTTAAACACTGCTGAATTACTTTTCATCAGTATTGTACTTTATTTTTACGACTTTTAAATTATGTAGATACTACTTAATGCTAAAAATGAATATTTTGATAAGACGAAAATACTCTTGCATTTAAAGACAATGTTAGAAAATGAAATTAAAGAGTAAGGGTGCAGCATTTGGAATAGAGATAGTATTATGAACTGTTGAAGAAACGACACCCGGGCCAGCTGTTAAAATATAAGCAAGACCTTTAGATGATGTGGTTGAATCTTGAATTTGAATTTTAACAACAATATCATTTGAATCTATACTTGCAAGTTTAACGATTAGTGTATTATCATTGGTACGTTTCGTTGCAACAAAATAAAGATTACCAAATTTACTATCTCCTTCTTCTCCTTTTTTTACAGATTGATGAGTAATAGTACCATTAGTAGCGGTAGACTTGAGAAGAATATTACCAAGATTTTCACCAAACATTTCTTGAGCAAGATATGGAGTTGATTTAACAACTAAATCACTATTAAAGACAATTAAATTTGGTGTCCATTGTGTACTATCAATATTTTGAAGAACTGGAGCATAGGTACCACCAATGACGATATCTGAATTACGTTCGAATCCAATTCGATAGATTGATTCAGCAATAGCTGATTTAATAGATGGATATCGGAGTCGACCAACGGCAAATGGATTATCAATTTTTGAATCATCATCATTGATGACTGAAAATTCTCCTACAGGTGCTTTTGGACCTGATCGAGAAATTTTCTCATAGCGACGAAAATTTTGTATAAAGAATAATGGAACTTGATCATCAGGATCATATACGGCTGGTGGAGACATAATAGATTTAATTGTCGTAGCAATAAAAGTAATATTAGGTTATTTTTGAGAAAGAGCATTATAAAAAGCTGACCAACGATGGTTATATGAGCTTGAAGCAGGATCAATCCAATCTTCATTACCGATTCCAACATATTTGATATCGAATGGTTGACTACGATCTAAACGTACGCGTAAGGCACCCATCCTATTGTTACTGGCGGAGGCAGTCAAAAAATCTAATTCTTTGATAACTTCATCAATATAAGGTTGAAGTTGATCTGGTGGCACCGCTTTTCTATCTAATGAATATTCAACATAAACTGCTAGAACAGGTGTTGCACCGATATCTACAACAAAGGTTAATAATTCAATGAGTCCAAAACCTTTAGTATCATAACCTGTCCATGTTCCTCTTCGACCTGATCGGTTCTCAAGAAGACCAACCGTATTATTTCAAATAAAGCGTTCAGGAATAGTTGGTCCTTCAAGAGCATTACCACCTGGAAGTCGAACATAACCAGGTTTTAAATCAGCAAAAGCTTGTGCAATATCGATACGGGCACCATTAGGTCGATTTTTGTAAGTCGGTGAGAAACACGAGATAAGATTAAATTCAAAGTCACCTTTAGAGCCTGGAGGAAATTCAATAAAGAAAAAGTTTTGGGTGATTGGAGCAGAACTATAAACAGGAATAGTAAAAGAAAAATAGAACCCAATGTCTATAAGAGTTTTGAATACATCGATTGCCGACATACCATAAATAATTTGACCACTTGAATTGCTAAATCCAATATTTAGTTTACCAGATGCTACATATGCTCCAGACAATGGTCGATAGAAGAACCTTGCTGTGTAATTTCGAGCTTGAATATTCATGCCATAAAAACCACTATTTCTGAAATCGGATGTTAGCGTGGAATTAGTAATTAGTGCATATCTCAATTGTACAGGTAAAGCACTAGATAAAGGTACAATGGTGCTAGCAGCAATAGATCCTTGCCAAAATAACGACCATCCATCAAGTGATATCGACCCTTTTCTAGATATTATAGAAACATCATAATTCATTCTATGAATATTTTATAAGAGAATGACTAACCTTGAAAAGCACGATTGTAGATAAGTTCTGCGTATATACCACCATCATCATCTCTATTTATATTTGTCTCGAGAATAGCACCATGCATTGTTGGTAGAATAATTTGACCAATATTTGCATTTTCAATATTGAGTGATACAACATTATCAATGTTTTCATTGGCACTAGGCAAATCAAAAGATACATTTATGGAAAAACAAGCTATGACACCAATTAATAGCAAAGCAGTCTAGACATAAGTTTAATTAAATAAATATGTTTTAAAGAAAAAGACAAGAATTATATATTACTGATTCCATCACCAGCATTTTTATGAACAAAAAATGAAAGAAAAAATAAAAGACACAAATAAAAAAAGGATAATAAGATCACACATTATTATCTTGAAGACATAGATAAAAGGTAGGAGAGAAAAAAAATATCAGTCAGTATAGTACAAGACAATAAAAAAGAACTTTAAGGTATCTGTCTAGTAATTATTATGATAGATGAAGCAGTATTTTAGTTTTACATGACTTTTGATTCAGTATGTACTTGAGACTATGTATATTTATCTTTCTGTTGTCATGTATAACAGCTATATACGGTTATACATATAAACAAAAGCGTCAGTTAGAAATGTGAAATAACCGAACAAGAAGGAGGGAAAAAGAAAATGGTTGAATGGCCAGCATACTTGCTCTTGAGTATTGCCATCATACTGAAACCTCTCTTGTCGCAGTATCATATTTGTATGTCTAATTCTGCTGTATTCTACATGGGACTTTCATATACATCTAATTTTGGACTTTTGTTCCTATAAAAAACTGTACCAATTAAATACACATTTAGTACTTGTCATTGTTGACATATCAACTTTATACTTAAAATCATGCTGAATATTGATATATTTGTAAAGTTGCTATCGGAATATTTTATATAGTTATCAACTTATTATGATTTGAACTGATTGTGAGTGTGAGTGTAACTCAAGAGAAGATCCGCACCTACACTCACTATATTTCTTCGAAAATATATGTCAGTTCCGAAAAAATGATTTTTTCGTGATGCTCGATTTTATCAGAAGCTGTTATCAAGTTTCTAGCTTTTTTAAACTTTTTTTTCTTCATCCAATCGTGCAAAATTTACATAGTTTATTACTGATTCAATCGAGAATTGATTTCTTGGAGTTTAGATTATGCAAAACCGCTACAGTTTCCCCCAGTTATCATTTAAAATTTTTCTATTGCATTGATTCCGATCTCGGCTTTATGCGTTTTTATTACACGATTCCATTTCCGGTTCCGGTTTGACTATCGATTCTATTTTTTTTTCGGAACCGTCAGCCTTTAAGCGTATTTGTAATATTGATTGCTGCCAACCGTTTTGTTTTAACGACATTACAATCATTCTATTTTTCCCTCCTCTTTTTCTTCACATTTTATTCAAATATATAGCATGTAAAGAGAAAAGAAATGCAAAATGTAACTATTCATTTCTAATACATGAACATACAACAGTTGGTATGCTTGAAAAGGCAATGGCATACAGATTTAATAATAATTTAATCAACAGTAATGTTGATTAATTTCATTTCTTACCATTAAAGAATAATATTAAAAAAAAAGAACTTTTATCAAACTTTTTCAAAAATCATTGCAAATTAACTAAAATTAGTTATATGAAATATCATCATTTTGTTTATTTAAGTTTTGATTATATATGCAGCTATTACAATGATATTTTCTTGTAACTTATGCTCGTGTTATTATTCAATAACATATTAGTTCTGATATTTCAAAGAATATTCTCTTTCTAATAAACAATTTTTTTTGTGACTAGTCAAGATAAGAATTTTTTATATTAGGAAATAAATACGTTTTGTTTCTAACGAGATAATTTTCCCAAGTGATAAAAAGCTTTGGCGTTCAAAAATGTTTTCCCAATTAGGTTATTAATATACCTATTCAAGAACGATGAAGACAATATGGATGTAAACTATAATCGGTTGTAATTATCAAATTTTGATCCGAAACTTTGTCTAAATTAATCTTGCTTAGCAAATTTTAGAGTTTTGTGATGAATTATTATCGTAATAGAAGTTTTCCAAAATATCCATTGAAAATGCAATTTTCATAAAAATAAAGGTTAATTCTAATATGCTGAAGTCTCTATAACAATAAGTCTAAAAATTCTAAAGCTTTGTAGACAAGATAGTGTAATCGAGATCTTCATATCGACGAAGGTTTAAGATGACATATTCAAAAGTGTGCTTTTATTAAGTGAGTAAGAGGATGAAGAAAAAATTATACTAGGAAGTTAGTATTTCAACTGAATCATAGCTTGAGCCGACATTACATTTGATTGAAAAACTTTTTATCACCTGAGATTGTCTTCTCGTAAGACATATTATCTTTCGTCCGTGTTTAATGTTAGATTAATATGGATACTGATTCAATGATTGTTCAAGACAGCAGTCATAATCTATTTCATTTCAATTCAATAACTCTTTGTACAAAATCGCATTCTTACCTATTAATACTATAAAATATTGTAAACAAGTTTTATAGATCAAATGGCTAAATATTTAATAAAATTTTAAAACTATTCATCTTTGTTTTGAATCTACTTTTCATAATTCCCTATTTCGTTACATATATTTAAAAAAAATTAATGACCATTCATTAACATGGATGACAATAAGCAAGTCCTAGTTGTTGTCGATGCAATATTTGAGTTGCATTAACAAAAAGAGCTAAAGTTATATATCGAAGAGGAGCATCACCCCATCGATAAAGAAACACACCTCTAGATTCATCAATACATTGTATAAAATCAACAACTTCTTTTCGTCGCATAAATGATAAATCAACGATTTCAAAATTATTCCAATAATTAGGTATTTCCATTGTACGATTAAAGATATCAGCGAACATAGCAGGATTTTGAAGAGTTATTTTATTTTTACTAATAAAGGCAGTGGTGACATTTCTTACGAGTGTTATACCTGGAAGTACATATTCAAAGTCTACTTCTCTCTGATTGGCCATATACAGAGCTTGATGTTTGACCATTATTTCGAATACATTAGGCCATTTACCTAAAAAACAAAGATTTATTTATTAAAATTTTTTTCAAAAAAAAAATGTGTTCGTCATTGTCATAAGAGTTGAAAGAGTCTCCCATTGAAGTATTAGACGTAGAGCAATGATATATCGTTTTGATTTATTTTGTAACATCTGATTTTAGTCGATTTATTGTAAAAATTATATTCCTTGAATTTTCTTTCAATTTCAATAGAAATAAGTCATATGTTTGATGAGTACTCTGTTCAAGAATTTCTCACGTTCTCAATGTTATTTTTCGTTGTAGATGCTTTATATTTTTATTTCGCTCATACAAATGTTATGGTCAATATAATTGAGTCTCAGAAATTTAATAATGAAATTATTTCTATTGTTTCAACATCGACTTTATGTTACGAAAAACTTTGAAATTACCTAAAATTTGTGAATCATCATCGAGCCGCATCATATATCGATATCGTTGAATTATTTTTAATTCAAATACTTGTTTAAACCAAAAATAACACATATGGTGATAGTTCCATTTACCTTTCTGTGACCAACTTGGATCTCTTATATGAGGATCAAAACCTGGCGAGAATCTATAAAATATATGATCAACATTAACAAACTCTACTTGACGTCGAGTAGCTTGAATTATTGATAACAGATCTCCTTGAAAAGGATAACCTGTATGAAAAATAATTAAATCTGTTGAACTATTATCACCCAGACGTTCCTCAATTTGACTAATTTTATTGCGGAGTATTGGATATGGATTATAAGCTAAACGAACATCACCAGTAAAACTTGCTACTAAGAAAGCAATAACATTTTCAGAAGACTAGAATGATAAAAGCAGAATACAACAAAAAAAAAGTATAAGAATAAATCTACTTTTCGAGTTTGATTTAAATATTCATTTTTAGAAAATATGTATTTTTCTTCAATATTTGGAATTGAACTTGATTTCCAATTTATTTTTATTATATCTTGTTTATGAACATCAATAAATACTGGTGTTTTTAAAGAATTACCAAATGAATTGAAAAATAAAAGCATGATAAGTGATATTAATAAAATTGATAATAAAAACATTTGTTTATTCAACGCTGGTATATTTCTATAAAAATAAGATTTCTAAAATAGTATATTTCATTTTAAAAGAATAACTTACTGTCTACATTTTGAGATAATATCAGTTTTTATTTGATTTAGTCTTCTTCTAATGATCTCAATAGTTTGCTTTTCATTTCGAAGACGAGATATTTCTGATATCTGCATGAATGAAATATTGAAATGAAGATCTACAACATAAATTATTGTTTTTATTTTCTATGATTCAAAATAAAAAAAAAAATTAATGCAATGCTCATAAGAAATTCTTTAAACTCGTTCTCCTTTTTCAAAAAAAAAATTTTACCTACTCGAGTATTTCCCATAGAGTGACTTACGTTTCTTTTTCTTTTTCATGACGGCTGACAATTGAGAACAAAATTATTTTTTTACTTAGCAATATTTTATTCTTTGATAGTTCTTACTTTTAGAGAAAATATTAACCGACTAATAGAATGATAAGTATAAGGACGAACAGTTATTTTAAGTTATGCAAAAAGTGAAAGTTGTTTTTTTTAACATATAATAAGAAGTTTTTTAATAATGTTCAAGGAAACCATCCTAAATTGTTTACAAAGACTTATTTATCTATCTATTAATACATTATATGTTGGTTAAAATGAACTGTTATTTAATACCTATTTATGAATGTAGTATAAGCAAACATTTTTGAAGAATTTGTTATCTTTTTCGTCAGTTCATTTACTTTTATATTGGTATAAGATTTTTTTAATCTTTTACTACTTGCAAATATGCCCATTATTCTTTTTTTTTTCTAAGAGTAGGACGAAATGACATGATCGTAACAGTGACCGAATAAATCTACGTACGTATTGTCATCTTCCATGTCACTGTGAGAAAAAATAAAAAAAATAAATAGACATATTGCTCGATAGTAAAAGATACACAAGTTTTATAGAAATGTAAAAGTAAATGAGCTGACAGAGGAGACAGCAGTTCTTCGAAATGTTTTCTTATAGGAAATTAATAAATACCTATACATAATTGATTAAAAATAAAAGAAACAATTACTTTTAAACAATTGGGAATTTCCGACTAAATTAACCAGTTTTGCAATACGTAAAGTAACTGTGAGCTATGATGTAGATCTAAATGTATACATAAAATCTCGTTTGAAATTTTTTTTT